TGCTTTGCGTTCTTTAAAGAGCCATTTCCTTAAAGAGTTATTTGAAGAGCAAAGTCATTCAACTGCAACGTTTTCATTTGCCCAGCGAAGCCCAACGATTTTCCCGTTGCCTTAGGTCATTGCAATTTTGTACAGCGACACGAAAGTGTCTCGTAAACAAACACCCCCACACCCCCCCACACACACAGACACACTATGACACTATCACACACCTTGGCACTCTCACTCACACTCACATCCACATCACACGTACAGCACGCTCAGTACGTCAACGTTGCGCTTCTCGACATTTTCTCGTCGTCGTATATGAAAATTCATTTCAATTAGTGAAATGGTTTTGGGATTTGTATGGCAAGCCAAGCCACCAACCATCCAACCAACCAACCCACCAACCCACCAACCCACCAGCCAACGAGTGCAGCAGAGGCAGAAAGACCCTACGGTCGTCGCGTGAGCTCCGCTTGTTGCAACTTTATTTACCTTCACGTGGCGCATAAATTGTAAATAGAGATATAAATGGGGGTGTGCAATGTAAGAAGGTTCTGTGTACAGCTGTCTCTCTGTGTATGTTTGTGTGTGTGTGTATCCTTACCACATTATGAGCCTGTGTTCAAGTTATGTGCTTCAAAGATTGCGATTAAGTTTTGAGTGCTCCGCCGCAAGGTGGGGACTAAGAGTGATTCATGCCGGCGAAGTCCATTGAACTGAGCGCGACTTCAATTAAACTTTAGTTAAGCCCTGGTCCCTAACAGTTATTGGCTTGGCAGCCTCCCTCCTCCTCCCTCGGTCCGGCCACAGATTTATCTGGCTGCAGCTTTCAGCTGTATCTAAACTGGCGCCGTTTCGCGCAAGTTGCTCCCACGACGACGCTTTGGAGACGCCGTCTGTTATCAGGGACTGCGAAACAAGCGGGTCCAACATAACAACAAAAAATAACAAACAACTGTAGCCAAATTTATGCAACTAACAAAATGTTGTTTTTTTCTCATGGCGCATTTTTTGCCCTCCTCGCATTTTTTGTAGTCTAAATGTTTGCTGGAACAACTGAGCGCCAGCAGCAAAAACCCCAGCTTGAATCCCAATTTTTTACTCCTTCACACATTCGCTTACAAATCCTGGGGAAGTTTGTAGAAGAGGCACAAAAAGCGGCTGCCAAACGCTAGCCGAGATGCCTGCGAGAGGAGTTGGCGTAGTGGATACACTCCAACGCGCAAGTTTCGCCAAAACTGGAAAGCGCCACCTGGCGGCTATCTATGTGAGTCCGCTCATTAGCATGTTACTGTGCGACCTTTCGCTAGAGCTATAGTCGAAAAAAATAATCAGTAGGGAGCAAAATAGAAAATGGTGTAAAGAACACTGAAAATCAGATGTGTGAAGTTATCGATAATTATCGATATTCTATAATGAAAGCAATGACATATAATGAGACCTCTACTATTTGGGGAATACCGGGTATCTGCAAGTGGAGCAGCCCCAGCTTGCTCGAGCTTTTTTGCGGTTGCTTTTGTCAGTCATTTGCGACGCTCTAAAGGAGCAGACATTTTGCAAGTTTGTTTGACAAGTGTGACAAGTTTTAAGGCCCATAACTAACAAACAAAGCAGCCAAGCAGAGCAGCTCCCAGAGGCAGGCTATCTGGTTACCTTGCAAACAGCAGCAGCAGGAGCAGCAGGAGCAGGAGCAGGAGCGGGATCAGGTCTGTCGTGTTGCTGCTGCCTTATCAAATGCTGTGGTTAAGCCTAGGCATATTACATATGTACATCGCACTAGCTACAGAGACGACAGTGAGCAATAAAAGTAAATTTCGCACCCACCGACTGCTGGCTGCTGCCTTGTCTCAGATTTTTGCCAGGGGTGGCTATCAGAGGTCCCCACAGACTTTCACATGACTCGTTAAACTTTTTGCCATTGTAATAGTTCTGCTTGGTTAGTTGATTTCTTCTTTTGCCACACATAAGCACATCTCGTCTGTGTGTGTGTGTGTGTCTTTGTCTGTGCAGTGTCCATGTTTAGTTGCTTTACATATAAGCCGCCCTTTGCCTTGGTTTTAGGGTGGACCCAGTCTCACTTTTCAGTCTCCTCCTTCTTGGTTATGCGCATAATTTATAGAGTACGAGAATATGTTGCCGTGCTCTTGCCGTCCGAAAGTTTGAAGGTTTTCGTTTAAGACGTCGCAATTTCTTTTTAGTTTGGATCCGCTTGGGTCCTTGGGCCAGTTATTGGGGCCCGCAGGACAGTCGAACGTCAAGGCTCTGCGCACACTCGTCCCAATATCATTATGAATGCTCCTTTGGCAAATTATCTAATATTCCCACTGTGTTACGCAAGCCGCCCGAGCTGATTGATAAATGATATTTACCTTTTAGCGCCCGATTCGATGCATCGCTAACGAGCCGAATCAGGCATTAGGCATTCAGATAATCAGCAGCGACGTCGTGACAGCAATTACCAGCATTAGCTTAAAGTCAAGTGGCATTGGCATGCAATTAGTTGCCTGACGTAATTCTAGTTTGGCCAGCATGCCGGCCGGGGCACGCCTGCATTATGTAACCCAAATTGGATAAGGTCTCCCCGCTGGCGCTCATTGACAGATTAACGTCTGCTTTGACTTTGTAAGCAGAGATCCCAGGCTCACACACGTGTCGCGTCTGCTGCTCCAGCTTTATTCAAATGCCGAATTCGATGGGCCCCAAGCATCTGCAACTGATTTGGCATTGGCATTGCCAGTCCTCAAGCAGCAAAGAACTTTCATCGAACTTAACAGCCCTAACACGATAATAGGGCATATGAATGAGAAATTATAATGGGATAAGTCGAAAGTAGAATCTGTCCACATCTTAAGCAACATAACGTAAATAATTCTCAAACTCTTCACACTTTGGTTATAGGTAAACAAATGTTTTGCGAGTATTCATAGGCAATCCAATTAAGGCTTATTCCAATTAATTGCCAACATTTTAGTTATTACAACTCTATTCTATTTAGTTGAATTAAAATGGCTTCTTTTGTTGGCCAAACCCGATTAAACAACCCGATTTTTAGCCATACAATTTTTTGGCATGTAGATATGAAAATCCCGCCTCGTGCTACATTCTGCTCCGGTCTTTTGTTCAGCCTTCTCTCTGGGGTATTAGGGCTGCGTTTGGGCGTTTGGTCTGTCGAGGGCTTAATAATGAGAAGAGCGCTCCATGTGTGCAACTGACAAATATATTAAGCGAATTATTATAAATAATTCAAATAGTTTTCCACCCCCGCAACGGCCTATTATACCCGTTCACGTTCAGTGAAGTGAGTGTATTCGGCGTAATGTCTCTGTCGCTGTGCATCGATATAAACTATGAGAATGCGAATGGTGGATGTTACTAAAATATGAATATTATATTAAAGCGCCCCTTGGAGGCGTGTCAAATCAATACCAACTCGAATGACCTATCGACCCGCTCTACAGTCCTCTAGGGTATGGCAAGCAGACAAAGATATTTGCATCATCTATTTGGTTTTCTTTTCGATCGAGCGAGTATTATGTCGTCAGTTAGGCTCGAATTACATTTGACTATGAAAATGTGCGTAATATTTTCACTAGATTCACAAACATTAAATGGCTATTTTTCCATTATGTTATATTTTTTTATGCTTTTTGCCATAATTTAAAAGATTAAAATTTAGTGCATTTTGACAGTCGGCAACAAAGCTCTGGCACAATTTTATTGTTAGTGGCTGGCCATATAGGAATGGCTTTCAATTTTTCCATAATTTATTTGTAATTTATGTGCAATGCCAATACAGATTCAGGAAACTATTTTTTAAACGTTTCCTGTGCAGACTTGAATTAAACACACTTAAGAAACTGTCTTACCAAAATGAAAACTCGCTTTTTAATATATGTATTTGTTTTATAAGAGCTGGCCTCATATTTTGGGCATATCCCAAAAACAGAAAGCTTAACTTTAACAGTCTGCAATTGGATTACCATAGAGCATACTCTCTATAAAAATCAATCCTTGAATCTGTGCCTATTTTTCACAAGTTGCCAAATAGCTATATGTAGGTATTTCTGCTCAGATGCCCGTTGACCTCTATTGCAATTTGTGCACAGTGTATAAATAGAAACGCCAGCAAAGTATTTGTGCACTCAGCGGCAAAGTAGGAATGCTGTGTTGCTGTTGCTGCTCCTGCTCCTGCCAGCGCAATGATTATAAATTATAACGGGCTGGCACGGGTAGTTGGAGCTGTGGCATAGCCCAGAAATATATGTATATACATACATATTTTAATAGTTAGATATAT